TGCCAGCGCACATCACATGTGGAATCTGCTGTATTTCTTTTCTTTCTATTTGTTTTGATTATTCTTATTATCTCTTGTATGATTTTCAACAGTTTTGTGACCCCATGACCAACAATCCATGTAAAATCAGTGTCATATGTTCCTCTGAATAGCTAAGAAAATTAATAAGTCTCCATGTATCTGTGCAGACACAAAAACGTGATTTTTTTTTTTCTTCTTTGTTTGTTTCATAGAAGTGTTGGTGAATTATGAAATGAGACATTTTCTTTCCTCTCTGGCTCTCTGTCACCTTCTCAGACATATTCCCAACCTCTGCATTTCCATGGTAACCCCTCGCCTCATCTATCACTAAAAGCTTTGATTATGTGCTCTTTGAACTTCACAAAACACACTCATGCAAGCTGATCACACACACACACACACACACACACACACACACACATAAACCAATTTATGAATAAATTATAAAGGGGGAAATACAGGGAGAGGCTTGGGTAAGGTTTTTAATATTGTCAATGAAAGTTCACAATGTTGATTTGTTGGATCCATAATGTGCAATGTAACTCGAGCAGTAATGTATGATGCCCTGAAATACTCCAACAGAGCCTGAAGCACAAATGTTAGTGTGGAAAACAAAAAATGAAAATAAATAAATAACAACAATATGTATTAGAGATTTCCCATTGCTGCCTTGATGCTTATTGCTTTATAAAGGAATGAGGCACACTGCTCTCATTATATGCTGTGATTCATATAGGCTACTTTACTTCTGCTGGTGATGGCCTGGGCCGCCCCATGAACCTCTGGTGTGAAATCATGATTGAGATTATTCCAAATGCAATTTCAGTGAAAACATCATTATAGAGTCTCTAGGTGTCTCTCTACAGGTTTTTTATGCAGATATGCATCAAACTCTATAAAGGACACATTTAATGGGTTTAGTGACTCAGTGAAGGGTATGGTGATAGATATGGAGTCTGTCTCTCTCCTCTTGGTGTGTATAAAATTGAGTGTGTGTCTTTAGTATCCGCATCTGGCTAGCTTTAGGGCTGAAATCGAGTCATAAATCACTGCACAGTTATTGTCATACTTGGCAACATGTAAAATGTAGGCTATATTCTATTCCCTTACACATAACTCTATACACATAAACTTACCCATCACAGAAAACTTTCTGCTCTTTTAGATTTTCAAAAAAAAAGATAATTCTGTATGATTTATAAGCTTGTTTCCTCGTGGGGACCAAAACAAATGTCCCCACAAAGTAAAAAAAGAAAAAAAAAGTTTATTTTTAAGTGAGCAGATGTTTAAAAGTGATAACAGTAGTTTTTGTCCCCACAGCAATCTCTGATTGAAGTTTAATATGCAGCAGATTAGATGAGTTTGTTGTACGATTTAAGAAGGCCTTAGACTTTCTATCACTTATTGATATCTGGGGACTCGCAGCAATAGATGAGAGAGCTTGGTTCCGGTGTTCACGCCATTTCCAGCCTGATCTCACGAAAGTGCGTATCTATAGCACGAATTGTATTTATTGTGCAATTTATACAAAAGAGTTACGCACGTACCCGGTAGTTAATTGAAATCCTCCTTATAAAGGGATAGTTCCCCCAAATATGAAAGTTATCATTTACTCAGGCTTATGTTGTTTCAAACTTATATGATTGTTTTTTTGTTTTTGTTTTTTGTGAACACAAAAGAAGCTACTTTGAAGAATGTTGGTAACCAGACAGCTGATGGCCATTGACCTCCTAGTGGGAGAAAAAATTACTATGGAAGTCAATGGCTACCGTCAACTGTCTGTTACCAATACTTCAAAGTAGCATATTTTGTGTTCAGTAGAAGAAAGATACCCATAATTGTTTTGGAATAACATAAAGGTGAGTAAATGATGACAGAATTTTGGGATTTTTGGGCGAATTATCCCTTTAAGGAGTTCTGACTGCTCTTTCCGAATATCAGGATAAAGCTTCCCTGTGTGTTCTGGCAGGACCGCAAGTAACTTTGTTATAAGAACTGTAATCTTTTGTAGAAGTTCGTGGCAGTTTGTATATTCTGACCAGATGGAAGCATTTTCGTCTAAATATAAGCAGCATGGTGTTCCATCTCAGGAATAGAAGCTGCATGGAGGATGGTTGGATAAAAATTCCAGTCCCGAAAGTTTCTAATTTTAGGGCTGGCACCAAGCTTTATCGTTTGAGCACTGTGCTGATTTGCTGAAGTTAGGAGATAAAATACAAAAGTGAGAGAGCAAAGCACAGAGCAGTAAGCAAGTGAAACAAGAACTAATAACATTTTTAGAGGTATTGATATGGCAGCGCAAGTTAGACCAGCATAAATCATTTTGAAGTGTATTCAAAATATTCAAATATTCTGAATGTTCTGATCCAATCTGACTTCTGACCTGTAATGCTGCCTGAATCATAATCACACTGTTCGTTCGTTGGCCAGAGGAGAACTGGCCCTCCAACTGAGCCTGGGTTTTCCCAAGGTTTTTTTTCTCCATTCTGTCACCTGATGGAGTTTGGGTTCCTTGCCACTGTTGCCTTGGCTTTTGGCTAGCGTAGTTCTGGACATTTATATTCAACTATATTATTGATCTGCCTAACTTAAGGTGGACGATGACGCAATTTTCTTCTAGAAACAAACTTTGTTGTATTAATTTCATGTTATCACTGTGAAGCTTTGATACAATCTGTATTGTAAAAAGCGCTATATAAATGAAGGTGACTTGACTTGACTTGAAGTTATTGTGTGAATGTATACCTGCCAACTGCACTGAAGTAATTTCATACTGAAAAGAAGAAATTGATTAATGTACAGAAGCTAACAACATCCACATAATTTAAGACAAGAATTTGGATTACTAAGGTCTTGGATTTCTGAAAATACAGAACTTATTAGTGAGATAAGAGCCATGTCTTACTCACTGCAACATAATCATATCATAACGGATGTCTCAGATGTGAAGGAACAAAAACAAGGAATAATAATTAAAAAAAGAGCTGTCATTTTTTTATTAAGGCAATACTGACCCCTAGTGTTTACACTGGCAGGCAGAAGCCATAGATGTATATCTATGGGCAGAAGCCAGGTAAGTAGGATAAATATTTGAAATAAAAGCAAAAAAAAAATTTACATTGTATAACTTAGGCTACATTTGTATGGAGGACCAACTCTACCATATTTAAAAATAAATACAGAAATAAATAAATGCTCAATAAATAAATAAGCATACAATTAATTGCCCCAAAAAATACAATAAACAAATAAATGTAGGTAGAAATTAAATTATACAGTGAGACATAAATGTATATATCTCTTTTAATTAGCTTCTTTATTTATTCACCTTTGTAATAATTACCTTATTTATTTATTGTCCGTTATAATCTTCAACTTTATTTATTAATTACTTATTTTTTTAAGTATTTATTTATGTGCATGTTATAATATTTTTGTCTGTTTTATTCTTCCTTTGTATTTTTTTACCCTATTTATTTCTTCAATGCTATTTATTTCTGCCTGTCGTTTTTACATTTCTGTATGCATTTCTGCCTCATTATGCAAATGAGGAGGGGCTGTGTCTTAAGGGGTCAATTTCTGCCCATAGAGAGCCTAAGACCCGCCCCTCCGCTTCCGGCTCATGGGACCTTATTTCGGAAAAAATATGTATGGTCAATGGCGAGAGACAACTTATCTTTTTATTCCGTCTGAACTGTGCCCTGAATTACACATATGATGTCTGTCAATTTAAAAGATAATTATGAAAGTCAAGAAAGTCGCAGTTTGTCATAAAACAGAAGAGTAACATTTAGTTTTATGTAAAAATCGCTCAATGAACTACATCTCCCGGGAAGCGAAACAACGAGCGAGATCCGCTGCTCGTGTGTGTGCAGTCTGGCACAAAACACTCCGGCATGACGGCGTAACGTGACGATTATAACGTCAGACTAGACGAAATGACAGACGTTAGCTTCAGTAAAGTTAGCTTTATTCATTGAGAGAAAATGTGCGCCGTTTGGGTTTGTAGTCTTTTTAATTACGTATTTTCACAGTCTTATACCTCAACAGTTTTACAGCAAACTGTGACTTTCTTGACTTTAAAATGTATCTTTTAAATTGGCAATCAGGGATGAGTTCCCTAATGAATATTAATGAGTCTTCCCCTACCACCCTGCAAAAAAAAAAAAAAATTCGCGGCCGGTGGCATGTAGATTCGACCGATGCAGTAAAATGCTAACCAACCAATGGGCAGAAGTTGACCCCTTAAGACACAGCCCCTCCTCATTTGCATAATGAGGCAGAAATGCATACAGAAATGTAAAAACGACAGGCAGAAATAAATAGCATTGAAGAAATAAATAGGGTAAAAAAATACAAAGGAAGAATAAAACAGACAAAAATATTATAACATGCACATAAATAAATACTTAAAAAAATAAGTAATTAATAAATAAAGTTGAAGATTATAACGGACAATAAATAAATAAGGTAATTATTACAAAGGTGAATAAATAAAGAAGCTAATTAAAAGAGATATATACATTTATGTCTCACTGTATAATTTAATTTCTACCTACATTTATTTGTTTATTGTATTTTTTGGGGCAATTAATTGTATGCTTATTTATTTATTGAGCATTTATTTATTTCTGTATTTATTTTTAAATATGGTAGAGTTGGTCCTCCATACATTTGATTTACAACAACGACAATAAAATCTTTCCTCAAAAAAGAACAATACAATAATAATGTCCTCATAGTGTATCATTCATTTAACTAATATAATATACGTAAATACATATCTCTGCTTAAATAATATTGTAACAGGCAAAAAATGCTTATTAGATTAACTAGAGTAAATAACATTACATACCAACGGATCCATCTTGTCCAATCATGTAGGTTCACGATCTGAAAAATGTGTTGCTGCACGAGGGTGTGTGGCAAATATCTGACCAATCACTGAACGCATACGTAGTAAAATCAACCAATCAATTTTAGCCTTACAAGTATGCGATACTCTTTTCGCGGAAGTTGACGTTGTTAACAGCAGGGCAAACATTTCTGATCATATCCTTTATTTATATTGAGAATAACACGTCTATAACCAAGAAGGTATGTCTGAACATTTGCGTCTTGTTTTACATTTTATAAAGTAACTTACGTAACTAGCCGCTGCTTTTAGGGTTGGGATAAAGTCTTTCTGTAGAAATCAAATGCATGAATGATGTAATGACTTGAACTGGACTGTTTATTTTAATGTGTCTACCATCGGGTGATCTTTCAGGTGTCAGATGTGGAAATATCTTGTTCTACAATATTATAAGTAACGTTATTTACCTACTGTGTTATTAAATAAAAAAACGTCAGTGTGTTTTAAAATGTCAGTGTGTTTAAAACATATATATACATTTATGTATACATTTCAAATACTGGTTAGGTGCTTTAAAATATGTATACAATATTACTGTATTTGTGGCCACCCCTGACCATAAGTAAATTTTACTCTGATCATCGGACTACCAAAGAGCATGATTGTAAGTGTGGTAAGAAATCACTGGACATAAGAAGGTAGCATTCAGATCAACATTCAGACTATTTCATAAACTGTCAGAATTCCCCAGATCCACCTGACTCACATTTGACTGTAAGGGGATTTTTTTTTTTATCTTGATTTAACATTTTTTGTCTTAACCTTCTCTCTCACAGGTTTTCTATTCTCACAGGTTTTCAGTTTCATGCTAGAATGTCAGACATGTGGCCTGGGAAATCTGGATTCCTTGACTGATGGCAGCTCTGGCAGTATTTCGCCATGCCAGCAGCAGTCCTCTGCTCTGGAGTTGGGGACCCGTTCTGTTTGCCCTCCTGGGATCAGTTTGTGTTCTGTTGCTGCCTTTAGTGGGCATAGAGGAGCAATGCTGTGCCACACTGAAGGGTATTGCTCTTTTGCGCTGCCAGCTGTGGGGGGGTGTCCAGCGGCCTGTGGTCCACACAACCAGCCTGACGATCCCCTTCACAGCGCTAGACCTCCTGCCACAAAAACTCAAGCCCAGCAAAGGTACAGTTGAAGATGCTGCTGACTCTATTTACGTTCTTAATGCATGTCCCTGGACTTATTGTGCATAATGTTTTGATGAATAATTTATGTTATTCCAAATGAAACATGTTCATAATCTTTAAAAAAAAAAAAAAATCTTTAAAAAAAAATTTAAATAGGTTTTTCCTCTGAAATTAATCCTTCTGATTGACTCTAAATGTATTATTAATAATTTGAATTATATATATTTCAGATGCCGTGGTTCAATGTCTTATAATTGCAATATCCTTTTCCAGTCTGAAACTGTCTTCTATTTAAAGCTGCAGTCCGTAACTTCTTTGGGTTAAAAATGATCCAAAATAATTTGAGCAAGTACATAACCAGCCAGTGTTCAAAACTATCTGCTTGCCTTAGCTCGATTAAAAACGGTAAGCTTATAATAATGTTTTTAATTCCAGTGGTACTGGTGGATTTCCGCGGGAGATTTGAGCATGTCTTTGCGTCATTACGTCACATCTGTACACATAAAGGAGTCTCGGCTAGTAGGCTATATTGTGTGTGAGGATGTTGGAGATGGAGATTTATAGCCTTTTCTCACAGCACTTGATATAATTAAACTTATTAATTGATGGCGTATCCAGAAAGGTGACAACTGGGGATTCACCCGTTGTAAAATGCAAAAGACTTTTGACTTCGGAGTGGCTACAGAAAAAAGAGACTGCAACAATCAAATGCGAAAACAAGGATAAATATGAAGGGCATTAAATGTAGTCACGCAATGCTTTAAAAAAGGGCATTTAAAAAAGTCACGCGCGATTTACTGCAATGCTTTTTCCCCCTTCGTTGGTCAGAACAAAAGTGGATGTTACTTACTTGTTCAGAGGACATTTTCCGGTGAAAATTCTTATGTTGGTCATACTTCCAAAAAGTATAATCTGTGATTCTGAATGCCAGTATCCACACCGGCGCGGTGACTGACAGCCTCACATTCTCCTCAAAACATTGTGTTCATCCACACTGTGCCGTGCCGAGGCACAACCCACGTAAAGTTGATAATTCCTCGAATAACTGCAATTGCAGATTTCAAACAGAGATGGCGACAAAGAGGAAAAACTACGAACTGCAGCTTTAAATATTTTTTTAAATGTAACATTCCTGTGATGCAAAGCTGAATCTTCAGTGTCACATGATTCTCCAGAAATCATTCTAATGTGCAGATTTGGTGCTCAAGAAACATTTATTATTATTAGTATCAACGTTTTTTTAATCAGTATTTTAGTTTATTTCGGTTTTAAAATGTTCTGTTAACAATAACAACACTGTTCCGGTAACACCCATTTTTTCATGACTGTCAATTCACTCTCCTTTTTTTCTTGTTGAAATTCCAGTTTCTTAGATATTATGTAAAAGGGTTTGTTTGTGTTTTTTGACAGTTTTTTATTCTAACACGCTTTTGTCTCATCTAGCTTTTGAATGTTTGTCAGGTTTTAAAAGCAATTTACTGTGTAATAAATTCAGATCAAATATATACGACTGGAACAAAAATGAAGTGATAGTGCCTTTTGATTATGCGTCTCTCAGCTGGAATGTGGTATTGTGTAACGCTCACCATCTGCTTGTTTACAGAGACTCAGTTGGAGGCAAAGGCGGCTCTCCAGCAGGCTTTGGAGATGAAGAAAAATGGAAAAAGAGAGAAAGCTCATAAGCTGCTTGTCCACGCACTCAACATGAACCCTGAGTTTGTGGATGCGCTCACTGAACTGGGAACTATTCTGGAGGAAAAAGATGTTGTCCAAGCTGACCACCTCTACACCAAGGCCCTCGCCATCTCGCCCTGTAACGAGAAGGCTCTGGTAAGCAGGGATCGCACTCTCCCTTTAGTAGAGGAAATAGATCAACGGCACTTTGGAATCATCGATGGAAAGGTGCGACGTCTCATGTCCATCCCCAAGGGCAACTCTGCCTTGCGTCGGGTCATGGAGGAGACCTACTACCATCATATTTACCACACCGTTGCTATCGAAGGCAACACGCTCACTCTATCGGAGATTCGCCATATTATTGAGACCAGATATGCTGTTCCAGGTAAGAGTCTTCAAGAACAGAATGAGGCAATTGGTGTAGATGTAGCCATGAAGTACATCAACACCACCTTGCTGTCCCGTGCTGGAGCGATCACTGTAAATGACATCCTAGAGATCCACCGGCGGGTTCTAGGCTACGCCGATCCTGTGGAAGCCGGGCGATTCCGTGCTAGCCAGGTGTTCGTGGGACATCACATCCCACCGCACCCGCAGGACTTAGACAGGCACATGCAGGAGCTGGTGCAGTGGTTGAACACTGAGGAAGCGCTGCATCTACACCCGGTGGAGTTTGCAGCTCTCGCGCACTATAAACTGGTTTACGTGCATCCGTTTGTGGATGGGAACGGACGGACGTCCCGCCTGCTCATGAATTTGATTCTAATGCAAGCTAGTTATCCACCGATCACCATTCGGAAAGAGCAGAGGGTAGAGTATTACACCGCCCTGGATACAGCCAACGAGGGTGACGTTAGGCCCTTTATTCGATTTATTGCGAAATGCACAGAAATTACACTTGACACGCTACTGATAGCCACAACCGAGCATGCAGTTGGGCTGCCTGGGTCAAGTAATCACGCCTGCCCTGACTGTAAACGCACCATACCTGTGCATAGCTGAAAGATGTGTTGGTAGATGGGAAAAGATTGCACATGCATGTAATTGAAGTGCCATATGGTCCATATCAGCCTCTGAAATAAATCATTGTCTAACCTTATACTGCTAGCTTGGGTCCTACAGTACATGGACAAATTGTGGATCCATTTTAAGTTTTTTTTTGTGCATTTAATGTGTAGCTATATTCGTTACAAATCCTGTTTGTTTGTTCACATTTTACCCCTACAACTTTGTAGTCAGTTTTAAATTAGAAATGAAAGAAAAGCTTTTCTTTTCTTGGAAAAAGAACAGGTCTGTGAAATGCTGAAAGATTGCAGTTCCATTTAATTTGGTTTGTTATAATTTTCAGACGCTTTGCCAGCTGAAGTACATTTATTGTGAACTCTACAACTTGTTGGACACTTTTCTCTCTTTATATAAGACTAGCTACCAGGCTACAGTAAAGAAATGTCATGTTCAAAAATGAAACCTTTGCCATTAACTAGAGCATAATCCCTGATTTAGTTTTACATCACAAGTTTCTTTAGGTTTATTTTAAAAGGTCATTCATTTTTAAATGTAACTGAAGTACATTTTCTTCTTTTGCAATATGAAAATGATTATTCAGTGATGTATGATCATGCAAGGGATATTAAGATTGATTACTGGAATATTGTTGAAATGTTTTATTCACAATGTGAACTTTTTTAATCAGTATCTTAAAAGATCATTTGATTAATTTTGGGTTTGCCACCATTTTCAAGCACTTTAGTTTGATCTATTTAAACAGGTTTAATTTATATTACTACTTCTAAAAAGCTATTTTATTATTGTGTGTAATAAATTATTTTGCAACTTCTCATGTCTTTCTAGTATTTAGTGGATTTATGTCTTAATTTCCTTTTGACTTTTCATATGTAGGTTCATAGTCAGTATCCACTGTTGTGAAATATGACCTGCTGATAAACAGTAAAATGTCAGATGTACCCTTGACAAAAGATCAAACTTATGTATTTGTTTTTAAACAAGGCTAAAAATCAATGCGAGCATAAATATCACACAAGTCATATATTTGACAACCACATACATTTAATTGCTTCATTAAACAATTTAGGCCTTAAAACAAAGAGGATCAAATAAAATGAAACCATATAACTACATACAACTTGAGCAACACAGGAAATACAAGAGCATTATTAGAAATTATTGAGTGCCTAAAGATGACACTGACGTGGTAAATAAAAATGACCAATCTATAATCAAATAAACGAGTCAACCAAATCAAGCGCACAATTTATTACATGTATACTATGTTTTCATTATTTTTAGTGTGGAACAAGACATTGCAACAGCACTTTTTTTTTTCTCAATCACTACTTTAGGCCACTGTGGTGATCAAACGCAAATATATAGAGCTACTTTTTTTTCCTTTTTTTTTTTTTACTTCGTTCAAAATATACAAATGTTTTACAAAACTATGGTCAACCATTGAGGGGTTGAACAAGAATCAAACACAATCAAAAGAACAATGCTGGAGGGAACTGTCTAGTGTAGAACACTGCAGTTTAAAGAAATACATCAGCTTAACGTTTAATAGTGGATGAAATACATCATTGCCATCAAAACCAGTAAATAATACTAATATCCAGGACATTTAAGATGATCTATGTGGTGTGTGTATATACACAATACAGTATATGATGGGTTCACAATCAGGTGAACTCGTAGTGGAAGGTTCTAGCGATATACAGCTGCATAGATTCAACTTCAGGAAAGGTCCAAATAGGTTGTAAAACTATCGTGCTCAGCCAGCCCTTTGAATATGACCACGTACGCATGTGAAATCTAAGGTTCTACACTGTATGTTGAATTGAATCTGGCTGTAGAGCGCAAGCTTTAACCTTCAGACCATTATTGAGTACACAAGGTAAGGCAGGTTTACAAGCTGTGTCAGCAGTTAAACCAGATTCTAGGGCAGCATTTGGAGAAAATACAAAAATGCGTGATAAAACTGCAAATAGAATCTACTAATTTCCAGGACAGGACACAGCTTTTAAATCAAGTGCTGCAGTCTAATACACACTAAAGTTGAAACTCCTAGACAAAAATGTGTTGTTGGCAAGGTGCTGGATTTTATTTGCTGACAAGATCATCTATTACCCTATTAAATCTTCATTTAGAGCTTTTATGAAGACATTACAGAAGTATGCTGTAAATCTACACATGCAAAATAGTTGAGTTTCAAATGGTCGTGGTACTGCAAATAAATTATTTATACAACATGCAGTTCAGATATTATATAAAATAAAGGTTTTGATCTTTATATTTTTGTTTGCTTTGACAAGGCAGAGGTGCAGGACGCATCTACAGATCAGCTGCCCCAAAGGGACCTATTGAGAAATTAAGCTGCACTGAAACTTATGATACATCATGTATTTTCATATTAAATGTTCTTGCATATACCTTTTAAAACAATGGTTCACATCATCCGTTTTAACATCCTGTTAAAAAAATACTTGCTGACGAAATCTGAAATCTGCCCCCTTTCTTTATTACTAAGAGGTTAAAGAAAACAATACAGCTCACATCTCCATTGATTAGGTGTTAAAATAGTTTAATTATATATCTAGGGTGGTCACGTATTTACAGAAAGTTGGCTAAATTAAAACGCTGTTTCTCCGCTGGACTTCGTAAGGACACAGCATGGCTTTCTGTCAGAAGGCAGGTATTCCTCTTGTGTTATCTGCATACAATTTCACTTTTTGAGCAGCATCCTGGCAAAGTCCTCATTGGACAGAGACTTGGTTTGCGTGTCCAGGCTTGTGGTTCCAGGTCCTCCGTGCACTCCATCTGTCACTGTGGCATGTGGTACAGAAACGGTCCCGTTCTCCGCTTTGGCATCTGGAGCACTCTGTCGGTACAGAGAGCGTGGCAGCAGAGAGACCTGAGTGCGTCCTTTTCCCCTTCTGAAAATAAATAATAATGTTTAAAGAGAGAGAACTGATGTTTTCAGTAAATCAGGACTGTGAAAAGAAAATTGGAAAACTGTAGGATGTTAAAACACAGAGGCTTTGTCACATGATGTTAGGGCTGGACAATTTGGGAGGGGAAAATGTAATTGTGGGGTTTCGGATTAAAAAACAAAAACAAACAAAAAAACTTGCTGTACTTTTTTTGTGAGGCTGAAAAATCTGGCCTATTTTTTAAATATATACATTTATTAAATAATAATAATTATTTTAATTATGATCAATATTATTATTATTAAATAAAAATATATTAAACAAAATAAATATATATTGTAATATTTCACTGTAACAGAGTATTTAAGAAACAATTTCATTTTAGGGAGAGCTTACAACAACAGGTTTATAAGCGCTTCTCTTTACAAATCTGGCACGTTGTTCCCAAATGCATGTTATAAGCGACCCAAACTCAGAGCAACTCAGTTCGCAGTAAATGTTGCTCCACATAAATTCATCTCTGCAAGTGCTGTGAGAAAACGAAAATGCCACTTCACTCTGAAACACACAGCGCATACATTTATTTAATTCAATTGCATCCTTTGTGATTTGAGAATCACCATGTCATATCACAATTTTGTTTTAATGCAATTATTCGCTCAGCCCTACAAGATAGTTACAGTTATAGTTAAACAGGCAGCTGGAAACCTCTTTTTCTTTCCCAGATCAAATATTACAAAACAACAACAACAAAAGTATTTTCTCTGGAGACATGGGGCTTTGTGAATGTTAGTAATTATGTTGAGAAAACCTGTGGTCTTGGCTACAAGCAGAAATCCAACACATGTGACCTGCCGCATCAAGTACTTACGCTCCCTGAGGTTGCCTTTGCATGGTTGCCCCCAGGATTCGACTGGGTGCTGCTTTCTCTTCCATATTCCTTCTTGGGGGGTTGCTAATAGCAACAGAGAGTGTGAAGTTCTCCAACATGGTGCCGTCCATCTTCAGCACAGCCTGTGAAGCCTGTGCCTCATTCTCATATTCCACATATGCCAAACCCTACAGAGCACACACATAAATTACTGTGGAGAGAAAACAACCTATTCCTTTAAGTTTTTGTTTAAAATGTTTGTTGTTGTTGTTCTTTTTTTTACTTTTGGACACGAGTAATATATTCTGGCAATATCAGCTTGGAGATGACTTCTTTCAGGCATACTGGGACAGTCGTGTTTTGTATTCATGTTGGTGACAGAGACCTACACACCTTGGGTTTGCCTGAACGGTTGGTGACTATCCGGATGGCTTTGATTGTGCCGTGTTCTTTAAAGAGGTCCTCCAGTGTCTCTTTAGTGCAGGTGTACGGCAGGCCCGAGATAAAGATCTTCTGCTTCTCCATTGACGTGTTGTACTTAAAAACCTGCCAGGAAGAAATTGTTATAAAAATGATTAACATTTTTAAAAAAGCCAACCAAAGGAAATGTACTAATTGTTCACTTGAACATAGGGATGACGTGGAAACACCAAAAAATTCAGTAGTATACAGTCTAGATACCTTGAAATCAGGATTCTTGCTCTTGTCCACACAAGGAGACACATACATGGGCCGTCCATCCACCTCCTGCCTGTCTAGTTTCAGTGCCTCAGGTACAGCTAGCCGGTCCTCAAACTGCACGTAGCAATAGCCTCTAAACACACCTTTTGGTGTATACACGAGCCGCACCTGCTCTACTATCCCACAACCCTTAAACAATGTCCGCAGCTTGCCCTCGGGGTCTTCCAGATTAAAGGCCAAGTTACTGACAAACACACTATTTTCATCTTTGCGCTGCTCCTTTGACACGTCCTGGGGTTCTCGCTGTGCTTCGGGCGCTCTCTGCTGGTTCTTGCGGAAACCAGGAGGCTCAGTTTTACGCGGTGGTGGAGCTCGTCGGCCGAAAAGCCCGCTTTCTGTCTCCATGAGCTCCTCTGTGGCCGTGCTGCCAAAGTCCCCTTCCCCTCGGAGCCTCTTGGATGGCAGCTCTGCACATGTTTGATATGTCACTACAGCCAAAGTCTGAACCACACTGTTAGCTTTCACAAATGGCTTCAATGTCTCTGAAAACAGATTTTTTTTTTTTTTTTTTACACTAAACAGAATTATAGAACCTAAAGCTCTCCGTCCATACCTTCTTCATCTCCCCATTCCTCCTCGCCATCGTCTTCAGCTTTCCGTTTATCCCCTGTTCTGTTTGCTTTCTGGCTCTTCTTTTGGCCTTTTTTATCTGCCTTGGCTTTCCTCCTTTGCTCAGCTTTCTCCTCCTCTTGTCTGGCTAGGTTAGACTCTTTTATAGCCACCTGCAGAAACAGCATACAGATGGCTCATTTATAAACATTGGTGAGCTTCCTGCCAGATGCCTCAAACATGATACATACATATCTGAATGCTTAAATATTTCTGTTATTTTTAACAGGAAAAAGGGCATAAATGAAATTGAAATATATGCCAAGTTTGGGGAAAATTCCAAAAAGGCTAGTTATAGGACTGACTCTTGCTCTCTGCTCATTGACTCTGTTGAGTTTGGTCCCTGTTTTTTGGACTGCAGCATCCCAGTCTTCCAGAGAGCCTGTGAGAGACAACACCCACATAAACACTCAAAGCAGGACACCCACATAAACAGCAGTATATACATATGAATGAATTAAACTCACCCTCCACTCTTTCAAAGTTGAGCAGGACATCACACACATGCTCAGGGTAGTCTGATGTACATTGTACAGCTCTGTGAAGAGCCTTCCTGCAGTGAACAGCATCTCCATAGGACCTGATCAACAAGCATACAAACAATTAAAATAAATTAAAATAACCTCAACAACTTATTAGCTAAGGAAAAGTCAGGGGCAGCCCTATTAGCACACATTATTCTGATAAAACAAACAAACGTTTGTTTTCATAAAATTTAATCAAGTCACGTAGTCCGTGAGGGACAGATCCTAAACATCAGTTATTTGTGGTAACTACAGTATGCCGGGCAGGATATCCAAACGTTCATCCCTATTATCCATCGACCTCAAATATGACTTATCATTTGAAACATTAAAGGGATAGTATACCCAAAAATGAAAATTAGCCCATGATTTACTCACCCTCAAGTCATCCTAGGTGTATATAACATTATTCTTTCAGACGAATACAATCAGAGTTATATTAAAAATATGTACTGACACTTCCAAGCTTTATAATGGCAGTGAATGGCCATTTCTGTTTTGAAGTCCATAAAAGTGAATCAATCCATCATAAAAAGTGCTCCACACGGCTCCAGGGGGTTAATAAAGGCTTTCTAAAGAGAAGCCATGGGTTTTTGTAAGAAAAATACCCATATTTATAACTTTATAATCTAAAATAACTAGCTTCAGCCAGAAGACCGTACGCATACTACGCAAGTCGACTTGCATCACAAGAGTAACCCGTGACGCATGTAGGATGTAGGAGCATCGTAAGCTTAGACGCCTCTCGCGGTTTAAACAAATAGAGCTGTGCAACAAACTCAAGCTCCTCCTATATTATATAGATACATCCTCCGACATTTCTCTTCAAAATTTCTTGACATAATATAACTCCAATTGATTTCATCTGAAAGAAGAATGTCATATACACCTAGGATGGCTTCAGGGTGAGTAAATCATAGGCTTATTTTCATTTTTGGTTGAACAATCCCTTTAACCTAGATAAATGTGTGCTATTATTAGGCACATATCCAATTGTTTGAGCGGAGTGTGGAAGCTAAACTATAGCTAAATACATCATTCGAGGGTAAAAGGTAGCTGTAAAGGGTCTACTTTTATTTTTGTAAACTCACAATAACAAGAAAACGTTGGGTGCCTTTGTAAAGAAAACAAACAGGATGTGCTTTCTCCGTGAACTGGAGCGCGTCACAAAAATGAACCAAAACTCTGGTTTTGGTATAGGCTACTTGCCTCACAGACACGAGAAATATATATAGAAAGCTTGAAATGACTCATTTTAAATGGACCCATTCAAATAGAAAACAAATACTCTCTGCTTAAGTAATCTGTATGAAAGATGCATTTCTATGGCGGAGATGACGAGTCAATGTCGTCAACTTCATCTTTGCAGCCGACACTGACACAGAAAACACGAATTTATTAATAAACTATTAAAATGTCTCCTTGCTCTTTTTTCTGACATGCATAATCATTAATTTTGCAAGTGCTTTGTGGCAAGTTTTATGCGTGTGCTTGAGCGCGGAATATCTAAATTCCTATAATAGCCTATAGCTATATATTAAACGCTCATGGTTTAGAACTCTCCTCAGTAAATATTTAAGTAATTAAATTAATATAAACGTGCGATTACTTGACTAATGGCTTAAATTAATGACTACTAGTCGACAACAAAAATCTTTTACCTATTAGCACACATTATTCTGATAAAACAAACAAATGTTTGTTTGCATAAAATGTAATTAAAATGTGATAAACTTGCTCAATCTTTAAAATGTAACTGATTTTTCTGTTGATATAACCAAGGTCACACAGCCAGTGAAAAATTATATTAACCAATAATATTATTGCACACAATCCCCCCGCCCCCCTCAAAAGTCTAAGACTGTACACATTTTTCCCCCTCAAATGAACGTGAATTTCAGAATATTTTAGTATTTGGGTTGACCCCCTTTTGCCTCAATCACAGCAAGCTGCATAAACTCCACAAGTTTGTGTAAAACCTGCTAATCACATTATGCAGCATGATTTGAGAATTATTCAAAGAAAATCTTGTTCTTCAACAGAAGCAAAAACATATGACTTGTTGTACAAACAGATGAAAATTACTGACCTTTCCAGGTTGTAATATTCCAACCACATGTTGGCATATTTTGCATTCCCTTTTGTCATTATGCTGTCCCACAGTTCACGGGCCTTCTGCATGTTCTTACAGTGTAAGGCCTGTTTGGAGCAAACAGACACAAGCAGCACTGTAACAATTGTGGACAGACTGTAGTCAGCAGAATGACATTACTTAATGGAGGATGGACAGATGCAATGGTATAGTGTTTCCTCACCTCTATCTTTGCCCAGATCTGCATTATTGTGCAGGACAAATCTCCACTTTCACTGAACCCTGAGAAGAAGTGAGACAGAAGTGAGACATTTCTTTCTACCAAGTCTGCTCTCATACCTCAAGACAATCAGACAAGATACTTACTCTCTTCTACATCCTGTTTCAGGTAATCGAGGGAGCGTGCAAAAGCTGCCCGCAGCTCGTCCAGCTCCCTGCTCCACACTGCAATGATCAACAAATCCATCAATAGTAAAATCACCAGATTCACTAATCTGATATCAGCTGTGACTGTGGACCAAAACTTGAGAATGTAAGAATAGATCAGAAAAAAGGGCAGAAAAGAAAAGCATATGGTCTTGCCTTTGCTGAAATCAACACGTCTCCTCAAGTAGTCCAAATAAGATTGCCAGATTTCAACATAATCGGTCGCCTGGATGAATCCTGCATTCAGGGCCTTTTCAAACACATCTAAGGACATATTTTTGCATGTTAAAAATGGTTCTATTCCTGCAAAAGGTTTTTGTCATTCATAAATTGATTCAACATTACAGTGTTCCCACACCTTTTGTCATTATTTCATAGAGATTGCACACAAACATATATTATTTTACATTTAGAACTGAGCATAATCTAAGAAAGTTATATTCACTATATAGATGTTTTCCATGACAATAGGAATCCTGTTCTAAATCACAACATTTGATGACGCAGAAATTATTGGAACGAGTACCTGTCACTGTCTGATGGTCTGTCCCATGCCGCTCTAAAGCCAAAAGATAGCTCTTCCACAGGCCCATGGTCCAGGGACAGTTCCTGACGGCTCGCTCATGAGCAGATAACACTAGATCTTTTATTTTCAACTGACGATCCTGAGGTAGAACAGACTTTTTTTTTTTAAATATATATATTTTTTGCAGTAGGTGTAGAGAGTAGGTGTGAGTGACCAAGCAACATCCACCAAGAGCAGCTATTTGACTCAAACACAAAAATGATGGTTTAACACCTAAACCTTCTGCCTGTGAATTTAGAAAATTTTCAATTGAACATTTAAAAAATATATATACCAAAGGGACAGTTCAAAATCCTGTTTCAAAGCTGTCCTATTTAATAACATATCAAGGATGTAACAGGTAAAAAGACCAGAAATAAGGCTTGTTTCAAACAAATGCAGAGGAAATGAGAAAAACTATACTTTTGTTTTACAAACATGACTGCAACTTTAGGTTGCACTTGCATGCCTGATTTTCCCAACTTAACAGAATTGTCAGGATGGATGAAGAGCAAATTCACACCTGAATTTTCTGTTTCACTCAGAAACATGTTACACAATTGAAGTCAAAATAAAACCAAAATTTAGATTTATAGATATGTAAAATCAAGATATTAATACAGCATTGCTTGTTTAAATGTACAGAAAAGGTCTTCAGCCTTTTTGCCTCCACACCAAAGCCACTGAATATGCTTCAGGAAGAGCAGGTGGTGAGTGTGATGAGAAGTCTGTAATGATCATAATTCCCCGTCCAATCCACCACTGCTGTTCTCCTGCCAACCCATTTACAAGCACGTCTGCTGCTCAAAAATTACATGTAGCATCAGGCTAAAGATGACATTCAGCAGGGAATCACTCCTCCATTGTAAAAGAGGTTTAATCTACAGCCAAGACAAATCGGTCTGTGGTAAATTCCCTTACATCAATAACCATTCAGTAAAATGCAACAATGGCTTTACAAACGGGAGAGATGAATAAAATCCCTGCTTTGCACACCCTACACCAACTCAACATCTGCTCACTGCCCTTCTGTTTTTGTTTCATCAAAGACTGAATGTGGATATCTGTTGAAGTATCAATCATGGTAGCAACGTTCTTTGAAGCATACGAGACTACTCCACAGATAAAACTATAGCCAAATACTCTGAATAGATGGTGCATGGATATTAGTAAGAAAGAAATTAAGATTCCATTACACTATGGAAACGGATCTAACACTCGTTCCTAAAGTGGTGCAGGTCATTGGTTAAGTAGAAGGCTTTAGATACAATACAGCACTTTGTAAAACCAAGTAATAACCCCCTATATATCTATTAGGCAAAGCAGCTCTTTGACTCACAGTGTGGGGTGCATATCATTTAGGCCCCATCCACACTACTGCGTTTTAGTTTAGAAACGGATAATTAAAACGAATACGATCTCCGTCCACACCAGCGTTTTAGCTGCGTATTAGAATTGATCCGTCCACATTAAAACGACTGAAAACGCGGATCACGTGACCATTCACCAACACTGGGCATGCGCGTGCCGGTGTAAACACAACTTCATTGATAAAATTATCCCACCATGCTCTGGGTTAACCCCAAACCTACGCTCCATGTACGCTCAACGCCGCCGCTGCACACGGGGAATTGTCACAGATCGCTCGAATAATAGCTTGACTCCGGCGCATGTAGGCAGTTATAGCGCTGTAAAATGCAGAATTTACTTGTACAACAGCTGCTAGCAAAGATATACGCCATGACTGATGACACCCAATCATAGAGCCGAGCGTGAGCCTCTACTACGTCATCGTTTCTAAAGTCCTCCGTCTTGACCCGTCTACACTAAAACGCCCTCCGGAGATTCAAAACGAAAAACGGATCGGCAGCGTTTCTAAACTTCTCCGTTTTGGGTCTCGGTTTTTGCCGTTTTAGTGTGGACGGGAGGTGCAAACGTAGCAAAAGGTCTCCGTTTTTAAACGAAAACGCAGTAGTGTGGACGGGGCCTTAGTTAAATAGCATCTCAATTTAATCACCTAAGAGAGTACAAGTATGGAGGCTTGATTTAATTACTTCACACATCCATAGCTGCCAGGAATTCAACCGCCTGAATGAGTTCCACTAACACACTCCAGCCCATATCCCTTAATGCAGAAGTTCATTAATTTCAGTCGTTGAATCAGAAAGCCCAAATGGACAGAAGCTTTGGCTGCTAATATGGGGAGAAGTCATTCTCTCCCCTTCTCGTTCTTATTTTTCACCCCCTACGCGCCTTCCACCATCTCTCTTTTTGTCTTGTTAACTCGCCGTTTTCCCCCTCTCCCTCCCTCCATCCATCTGGTGAGGTGCTGGCTCTCTAATGTGTTCTCAGCTGCAACTGCGCTGTTACGCGTTTGTGGCTTGTGCATCTCATTACCATCCCATTAAAGCAATTAATATGTTCCTGAATAAACAGAGGGAGGTATGGGGCTGGCACACGTGCAGATGCACATTCATTTTGTGAGCTGTGCGAAGGGCTGCTGGGTAAAGGGGGACGTGTGCTTATCCAAGTCACTCACCAGATACGTGTTGTATTTGATCCACAGGTCTGGCACAAGGCAGTTCTCCGCCAGTGCTCGCTCAAATATAATCTGGACACGGGCCGGATCCCCTTCCTTCATCTCAAAATCTATGTATGCTTGATACTCCGCCAGCTTTGGAGTTTCAGAGACCAGCTAGAACATCAAAAAGAACAGCATTAGAAAGCACAAAAGAGAAACAACAGTTTGAATTTAACAGAAAAAAGAGCCACACAGGGAAATTTCATCTGTTCTATTTAAAAGAGTGCGAGAGCACTGAACTGATTATTGTAGAGTTTAATTATAATTGGTGACTGGGTGCTTTAATTTAAAATAAGTACAGTGCAATTCTGTTTACTATTAAAAATGACTTTCTGGGAGCATGGCACATTCTCCACTTTCTATGGCAACAGCACTAGTTAGGTTGAATTTGTTTTCTGATTTCAGTTCCTCTTGTAACTTGAGTGAATTATTTGTTCAATATGAAAATCTGCACAGTGTAAATAATATCATCTACATGTTAATGCTTTATTGCTACACAAATAGGGTCACTGATTAGTTTATGTATTTGTCAGGTTGAGGTCTACAAGCTTTAAAGTCAACCTTAGCTACCCATAGCCATTTTCTTTCTCCAATGTGCTAAATGTCCAAGAAAAACAGGATATTCAAAGCAGGGAAAAAAAGGTAGAGCATGACTTGATTTTGTCCTCTGGGAATCAATTAAATAGTGAAAAGTGTTCAGGTTTTGCAGTCAATTATGGAGGACTGCCGCCAATACCAATTTGGTAAAGCAGCCTTAGTGATGTCAGCCAAAAAGGAAGTTGTTTCAGAGATGGTTTAAGCCTTTAATGTTGGATGAAAGACTAGAAAGAAAAAGAAGAAACAAGAAACCAAAAAAGACCAGAAATGTGTAATAAGAAAGTAAATAAGATTAAATTGAGATGTCATGTTGACTTCTCCTGAATGGGTGAAAGTATAGTGTTGATTAGCATACGTTTGTGGACAAAGAGCTTTCATTACCACAGATGGTTTATTCATTCAGAATCTCTAAATGACACTTGTGAAGACTGATTTTGGCTGTAAGCAGGTTACTGCTATAAAACTTTTTAAAATCATGACCAATCATTTTGCATTAAATTATGATGGAAAATCAGAAAACCAAAGGGTCTCTAACAGGGTACCCCCAGGATCCTCCAACTTAAATTCAAGGCTTTTTAAGACCTTTTTAATACCATTTCAACTGAAATTCAATGCCAACTTCGTACCCATTCCGACAGAAGTATGAGGGAAAAATGTCAAATCTGTATACATTTTAAACCCTAGAAAATAATTACGTACAAGGAGGCTACTTGAATTAAATAAAACATTTTACTTAAATTATCAGTCATATTTAATATGCAACAGCATTGTAGCGCGCATGTGTGTGTAGGCCAGTGTTAATTTTGGCAGCCATTTTTTATTTAGTCTTAGTCTTCAGACGAAAATGCTTATTGGTCTTAATCACATTTGAGTCATCCTGTTTTTTATAGTTGTAGTTGACGAAAAGTCTTTGCATTTTTTGTCAACTTTTAGTCAAACTGCAGTTACTTTACTTTTGGTAGTTATTTTATATGTAGTCTTTAGACAGAAAATGTCATAATAATTATTCTCTCTAGGCCAATTCAATTAAGCTGATGAGAAATTATTGACATTGCAATCTTTAGCAGTAGCACTTGTGCAGTTCTACATAATGATCCCTTTTCCTAAGTTCCGTGGTTCTCCAATTTTTTAGAGTGCCGTTCCCCCTGAACCCCCTCTCTTCCACTTAGACTGCAGTCACACCCTTTCCATTAAGGGACAAGATTTGCCCCCTTTAATAAATTTTTCCATTTCATTTTTTTATTAAATTTGCAATGATAAAAAACATTAAAATCGCCAGTAGGTGGCAGTAACTCACTATCTTTATGAGTGAGTCTGAGTCATTCATTCATTGAATCTCACGATTCGTTCAAAGCCACATATTTCGTTGCAAAATAGAGCAAGCCTGATAATGCTGTTTTCAATGTAGTACATCACTTAATGTTACCCTTTTTTCTTTTCTTATTTACTGTTGTATAAAATCAAAGTCACATTTGAAATCGTGTGGATATTCGGGAAACATTGCATTCTTGCTCGTATGAACACTGGTGGATATATCAGCCTGCATTTTGATCGCAGATTTAGTCGCACAAACAGCGCAAGCGGCTCGTGACAGAACACAGACCGACTGAATGACACTTTAATTTAAGTACAACATTTTAAATAAAGATCGCTGAACTGCAGCTTGTCTGTGTTTTCAAATCATCCGCGCTTCTTCAGCAATGTAGAGAGAGAGGGCGCGCATGGTTGCCAGATACTATTGAAAAGACGGGTAGAAATATGTTCTTTTAACAGAAAAGCTCTTATTTGGGGTTTAAATTATGTCATTTGTGGCCTCAGCGGATTAAGCTAGGTAGGTACTATCTTGTTCTGTACCTCACTTGCCTAGTAACCATAGTAACGGGTGCGCACGCGATTGCTTTTTCTGCTATGACGTGGAGCGCGAGGTGCGCTCAACGCTGCATACATTTTGAATTAGCCTACATTAGTAACAGTTAATTTTGTTACGGTATGAACTTAATCCTAGCAAAGGCAAAAAAAATATATAAGACCTTTGTAACGAAATCCAAGACTTTGTATACTAAATTCAAGGCTTTTAAGGCCTTAATTTGAGATGATCAAATTCAAGACTTTTTCAAGGCTTTTAAGACCCGCGGGTACCCTGTCTAAAGCAATGAGACAAGCGCATAGTTACCAAAGCCTCCTCGTAAGGTTTGCATTTCTCCATCTGTTTCAGGGCACGTTTGTACTGGTGTGTGACCGTCTCAGGTACGCCATCATCAGCCCAGTCAGAGTACTCCGCATACGTTCCCTCCATATCTACACAACACAATGTTAACACATAAACATGAGAAAAAGCATCCAGATATGTCAGCTTTAAAAACATTTTCACTGTTACTGGAACACAGTATCTGTTCTGTTTCAAAGATGCTTTGAAATAGTCTTTCTGTTACTACTGCATTTCTCACCTATGTCACCACTACAAGGAAATTTTATGACACAGAAATAGGGCAATAGAAACATGAGCCGTGCTGTACGAAAGCCCAATCTGTAATCTGGCTCTCTTAGCTGAGTGGGATGGGATCATCGCTTTCTCCACCGCATCTCCGGTGCCAAAAGCAGCCGACAAGAAAAAAAAAAAAACCGCTCACAAAACCAGACCATCTGGCTATCTGTAGGCAGCTCCTGGCTCTCCTGTCTCTAGCCTGTGTTACAGTGTCTGGCAGCGCTGGTGTCTACTTGACAGAACCTATACTACTTGGCTTTCAGAAACGTACATGAAAGGAAACCACATGCAACGGTCAATTTTATTTGCAACTCAAGTCTTAATCAATACCATCTGACCAGATTTCACTTCAGTCTAGACATGTTGTTCTCAATTTATTTTATTTCTGCCAAATTGCGCAATCTTATATTCATAGTCTAAATTCTTTCAGCATCCGTTCCCCCGAACATTTCGGCCTGTGGATAAGTTTTTCCGATTATTCATTCCAACATTGGAAAGAGAAAGAGACAAGAAAGAATGGGAAAGTGGAGGACTGGAGTGAGAGAAACAGAGCAGCTCTCACCCATCAGAGGTACAGCTAGCTGCCGCCTGAAGAGTGTGTGTATGCGGTCGAGCTGGGCATTCAACAGCTCCTGCTGCTCCTTTGATGGAACGCTGCCAGGAGGAGGCTGAACAAGAAAGAAGGGGTTAAAACACCAATACAGTACAAAACAAAACACTGCAATCACTTAAGATATTTAAACAAATTCATACTTCTCGTTACTATTCATGTGATATTTAATAACAAGCCTTTCAGCTTGGCTATTTTGACAGCCACTTTATGCCATGCTGATATTCTGTTATAAATCTAAGTAGGAACCCCGAGTACATACCTGTACTGTTGAGAGAATAACAATCTCAAACTCCCTGTAGGCCTCCCAGATTGAAGCCCCTTTAGTCACGTGTACACCCACTGCAGTCAGCGCCCTCTCAAAGATGGACCGAACACGCTCAATCCCTCCCTGAGCTCCCATTCCCCCGATTGAGAACTGTACATATTCCAACCAGATCTCTGGACCTGTGAATGGGTTAAATTTTAACAGCAGCTGTTTTTAATCCCCCAGCACAGGTTTATCTCAAAACAATTCAGAAGTAATTACATGTTCTTTCAGATTATTGGTGGTAACTGAATGCGTTTTATAGTCCGCTCAAACACTTCAACAAAAATATTACACTTAGAAACAGGTTTAATTTGGTCAAATTGTGTAGTGTTTTCTAAGAACTGAAGATTATGAACATAATTAAGCCACACTTACACACATAATCGTTGACAGCCCTCTCAAACAGCTCGTAGACTTTCTCGCGTTCCGATTCGTCTTCTATTAGGCGAATTTCATCCTTAAGCCAGTCCAGCCAAATCTCTGTTCCACCAAACATATTCAGTCAAACATAGCACGCAATAGCCATATCATCACTTGTTTGTAATACATACACATGCATTTACATACACGTTTAAAGACTTCCTATTTTATTTAAAATATTCCTTATATACACCAACTCATTTTCTAATTGCACTTTCAAAGGTTTCCCCCCTTTTCTCCCCTATTGCTTCCCAGCGCTTTTAACACACTCTCATTATCATGTCCAGTAAATCAATATGAATCACTATCACAATTCAAATGAATTGTTATCTGCAAGGTTGCTCGGTCCTGTTTCTGGGAAGCAACTTTCCTGGGGAGTGATGTGTATTCAAACCTCAAGAACAAATTCACAAAATAGCCAGGACTCTAAAAGCACTAGTTGTCCTTTCACTAAAACTCTGGCTACCGCACAAGGCACACAAAGAAAACAAAAGGAAACAAAATAAGGATGTCCCACCTTCAGTGAGAGGAAAGAGTTCACTCATCTTCTGCCTGGCCTTACGCAGTCTGTGAAGCTTCCCTTCTTGCCGCAGAAGTTTGATCAGGTCCACATGGCAGTTGTAATCAAATGCGTTGATTGACAGCTGTAGAAATGGGACACAGGTTGTTAACTTTTGCTTTCTGAGATTCACATGGTATTTACAAAATATTATACAACTGCAATCTTGATTCACAAAAGGGGCTTTCGCACCAGAGGAACATTTTCATTGTTTCTATAACTACTGGCGGGTAGGGATGGGACGATTACCGGTTTCACTATAAACCACGATAAAATGTGCTGACGGTTAGTAATATCGTTCAAAATTTAATTATCATTAAAACCGTGTTTGATTATCGCCATTTTAATAACTCGATAAATCCTGTCCAGCCAGCAACAGTCTGACGCAGGCACAGCTGGCAATGATGTTTTGTTTTTTATTCGAGAAGGAATGGCGGAAGGCAGTGACCGTGCTCAGGAGATTCGTCAGCCTTTTAAGAGGACCAAATCTGAGGTGGTCATATTTTGCCTTTTTACAAAAGTCTTGAGGGAAACTTAACCGAGGATGGTCACCCTGTCTGCAGAACATGCACATAAAAAGTCGCTGCAATAGAAACACTTCAAATCTGCCGAGTCGTCTTGTGTGACCATCACCCACTGTTACAGCGAACGCAAGGAAAGTTAACTTAGACCTCAATTCCAAAACTACGTCTGGGAAATAATTGGGCACAAAATATAGTTTTGAGATAAAATCTCTCTTTTTTATCTCTTTCAAATATACGTGAAGCTTCCGCGAAGAAAAGTTCGCAGCAAGTGGCTTTGAGCCAAAGACGAACGTGAAAGTCCAAACAAGAGTATTAAGAGTGACATTGAATGTATAGTAATGTATATTCATTATAGCCTACTCATTACCCCCATTTTTTTAACACATAATTACGGGGACATATTGAATTGAGATTAATATTTTAAATCTCACCCGTTTATAAATCCATTTTGTACAGAGTACAAAACAATCGTCCAGACAAGATGATCACAACAATATTATCAAACTCTGCATTGAAAATGAAATAATTTGTTTGTTTACAATCAAAAACGGAGACGCAAGACGGCAAGTTGTATTTGAATGAAACAAGCGCTTCCGTTGTGATACATGGATGTGTTGCGTTGCTATTGACAACGGTCATTATAAAGAAGGAAATGCCACAGAATAGAATCTTGCTTTAAAAAGTGCATAGAGCTGCTTGTTTTATTTGTTGTTTGCTGATTTTTCAAATATAAAACTTGTTGAAATGTTTTCAGTGTAAGCATCAATCTTTATTTGAACACTTTAATCTCGTTTTAACAAAACCGTGATAATATTGATAATCACGATAATTTTGGTCACTATAATCGTGATGTTAAATTTTCATACCGTCCCATTCCTAGGCGGAAGTACTCGCTTTTTGGTGTGTTTGCACCGCAGGAACTGGCAATGATGTTAGCTATAGAAACGCCTTTTGGGGGGACTGAATTAGCTCCTACTTCAGAGTAGGGTCTAACCCAGCACATTAGGAACTACCAGTGACGTAAGTGAATATTGATTGGACAAACATGTAAAACAATGCCACCCAGCATTTTTTTTAAAAGCCATGCAAACAGTTTACATCAGTGGTTTGGTTATCAATACCAAATACCAAATAATTACACTAAAAACATATAAAAACAGTAAGAATTTTTTCAACTGAATAACTTGCAATGAAAACACCTGCAAAAGATTTCACTTTGTAATGTCTTTGGCCCATTGAAAAATATAACAGTAAGTTAGAATAATAGATCAGAACATAACTTTTCATTTAAATAAACAAAAAAGAGTCAATTTTAAGTGATGCTTTTTATGAACAATATATAATCAGTGGCTGCAATGAGCTCTTTTGACGGCGCCTCACGAGATCAGAAGCTTATACGTCTTTTTGCCGTCCGAGGTGAAGAGGTGCTTTTCTATGGCGAGGAACATATGACGGGCTTGTTCAGATGGTGCAAAGTCAACAGTCTGAAGAGAGGAAAATACAGTGGAATTGAGGTTCATGTTGCTTTATAAAGGCAGAGCAGCAATCCAGTGTTTCCTCTGGGATTTTTTCCAGCTGTGGTGTCAGGCCTAATTCCACAGGGGAGGGGGCATCGCCCATGGGTGATTTCCATTAAACCTTACCCAAAAGTATAATAGGCCTAATATGTGCATCCCGTGCACAGAATGATGCGCTTGAAGCAACATGGAGTCATTGCGTGCAGCACTTCGCATTGAAAAATGCAGAAAACAAGGGGAAGATATATTGATGCTTACTTAGTGTATCATATCTATGGCAACAGTTTATTGAGCCTTTTCTTTTAACAGTTGTAAATTTCATTTACTGTGCGCTTGAAGAACAATTCATAGTGCCGTCTACTCCAGTGGGATCTAACAGACACCCGGGAGAAAGACTCATGTTTTAGAAACAGAAATAAACTCCAGAAAAACAAAGTACTTTTATGAAAAACCATAGACCTTTTTCTACAAATAAAGTATAAAAACAGGAACATTGATCTTGGAGTGAGTTTCATCGTGTTGACAGTCATACCCGAACGCGACGCGCTGTTTGAATGGTGAATGACTGAGGAGAGATACATTTCCATTAACTTTAACTTAACGACTTAAATATTCATTAGTACCTCACATTAAGCTGTTGAATGGCTTCAGAAACCTTAGAATATAGTGTACCAAAACCTTATGGTGCTTTAACAATGTTTTATGCATTTATTATGTTTAAATGCATTTAAAGCCCCTAAAAAGTATCCTGTAGAAGTTGACCTACAAAAGTTTAATATCAGATGGGCAACGATTAATCGCATCCAAAATAAAAGTTTGTTTGTTTACACATAATATATGTGTGAGTAGTGTGTATAATTATTTTGTATATATAAATGCATATATATATTTAAGAAATATTTGCATGTATATACTGGGTGTATATATATATATATATATATATATATATATATATAATTGATATTATATATTAATATCTAAAATATTTATAACACATTCTTCTTAAATATATGTGTATTTATATATACAAAATAATTATACACACACACATATTATGTAAACACAAACTTTTATTTTGGATGCAATTAATCGCGATTAATCGTTGCCCATCCCATCAATATGAAATTACATTGCTCAAAGAAAATGCTTAAATGGGAAGCATGATTGCAACGCTTAAGGGAGTATGCAAGGTATGAACTAAATAATGTCTTCTAAACTGCATTACTTCATCAGCACAGATTCTTGCTTGATTTTTTCCAAACATTTAACTAATACATTTGGTTGGGTGCGATGGGATGGCTAAAGATTCATCTGGACAAGGCAAGCATTCACTGTAGTCTATCACGCAAGAGTGGGAGACACTGGAACAGTTCCACTTCCCACGGAGAGCAAATATCTGTAGGACTTAAAAATATAAATCAGATAATGTGACTGGTTCTTGATCCACTATATTTTGCAGGGAACAAGCTAAACTTATCTTGGCTTTCTTATGCATTATAACAAAACAGAAACTGGCTGATGGTGTGTAGAGATCAGACACACTTGGCAAATTTGGCATTGCAGCTGTTGCATGGTTGTTGTTTTAACAGGGACTTGACTACTGTTCCATGCAAATCACCGTCTTTCATCCATTTATGATGGTCAGAAATTAATTCACAATGGAACAATTCAATGCAAGGTCATAGCGACTCAACCGAACCTGTGCATTTATCATGGAAAAAACAAAGTTAATTTTTTTAACAGAATCACAGAAAGCTGACACTTATGCTGAAAAAAAAACCCTATCTTAAACCAGTCTAAGCCAGTTTTCTGATCTTCTAGTATGGTCAGTCGGAATATTTTAGAGGGCATTTGGATACTTTCAAGATGAAAAACCAGCTGAAGACCAGTTTATCTAAGTTTTATGCAATTGGCATAACATATGCATTTGGAAGATGCTTTTATCATAAGCGACTTGCACAGCATCAAAGGTATACATTTGATCAGGTTATGCTTTCCCTGGAAATCAAACCCATGACCTTGCTAGACAGTTTTTAAAAGAAACATGCAGTGCTTGCAACATAGAAAGCCCCTCTATTGTGCGACACTGGTGTTTTCATCAGTTCGTCAAATCAGAATCATCATCCACTCCAAAACAGAAGTCAAACCCCCAAGAGACCAGAGCAACACAAAGAATCCCAAACCAAACACGTGGACATGACAACTGTGCAACAGTATCTTCACCCCATGAAAGCCTCCTGCTACAGCATGTGGTATGCAACCCAAAACTAATGTGTAAAGTAATAATCATGATTCAAGTCTAAAATCACCACAGCATCTAATAGGCGTCTCTCTTGACACCTCCGTTGCATACAGCTCCCTCTATATGAGCTCTATGGCGCGTGTATGAACTCCGTGCGCACAGCACGCGTCATCAAAACACTCCAACAGTAAACTTTATTCTTATAAATTTTACATAAAGTCTTTAGACATGCAAGGGCACAAAGCTCCATAGACACATTTGGGACTGCATATGGGTGGAAAACAAGCAAAGAGGCGATATGAAGGGGCAGTTTGGAGGGATTAAATACCATGGCACAAGTGCTCGCTAGCTCACTAAAGCCTTTGCTAGCCACATTCCTCAGGAACAGTTAAGCATTTCTCTATTTTTATTACTCCTGGCCATGTATTTGGTATGTTAAGCATGTATGACCTCTCTAATAAACGGGTTCTGGTAAATATATGTACAGAAACTCCCCAGCAGGGTCGTTCGTGCCGTGTTTTGAGAGCTGCGTATGTGAGGAGAGTCGTTAGCCTCATTCATTCCTCTCACCTGCTCCTCCAGCCGCTGGATCTCTGCTTCATTCTCCCGCTCGTCCTCGGACGTGTTCTCTTCATCTTCCTCCTCGGAATGCTCAACTCCCATCCCTTCTTCTTCCTCCTCTTCTGACTCCATCTCTCGCTCCATGCCCTCAGCCTCCTCTTCGATATCTGGCAACAACGTCTGTTCTTCGTTACCCGTCGCCGCCATGTTGAGTCTTATCTGCCTGGAAACAGGGGCAGGGCTCGCGCACACAACACAGGCTCGCGCGAAAAACAAGGGGGCTCGTTCAACCAGAAGGCGGGGCTCGAGGGAAAAACAGGGGGGCGCGTCCGGTCACAACTACAGGCATTGGCCGCTGTCAGATTGGCGTTTGATGCTGTAGTTCCAATTTTTTCCAACTAAATTCGTTGTGGTGGATTGAGAAACTCTCTTCGTTTGTCAACATTAAATGTTTGTCACGCCTTTGTCCAATGCAGCAGACAGCGGTAATAACACATATACATTGAAATTCCAAAATATTAACATATAATATGCATGCTAAATATCAAATATGTAATATTACTACTCATTTAAACATTCTAAATATTATATTTATAAATTCTATGATTAAGTGCAGGGTGATATCGCTCCCCCTGCTGGTTAAGTTCCGTGATAGCTCCAACTGTCGGATTTGTGATTAAAACAAAGCGCAAAGCCAAATGACATCCAGCTCCACCTCTCTAGACATCGTGGGTTGAGCTAGACCTAGTCCAGCTCCTCTTCTCTGGATCTAATGGGCGAGAAGGGACAGAATTATGCCCAAATTACATCCAGAGAGGGGGAGCTGGGATCTGTTTTTGAGCAAAACAGTAGTCACATGAAATCCAGAATGTAGAAATAACTACATAAATATAAAGGTGGGTTGTATATTACTTATAATAAAAGATGATTACAACAGTGAACTTGCTGCCTCTATGGTTGTTGAGTGCTGTGCAAAACAACAGTGAAATCAATTATAAGGCAGAAATTATATATACAATATTATATAAAGGTGAAATGTATAATATATACAGTTTTAAAAATAACTTATGCAAAATATCTCACAATTGTATAATGAGTTTTTCGGTAAAGCGCGCCCCCTGCCAGTTGAGCCCCAGTGTGTGCAGCAGCATCAGTAGTCAGTCAGTCATCATGGCGTTAGCAGCGGCAGCCAAGCGCTCTGCAGCCTCTGCACTTTTCACTAGATCATTGTCATTACCAGAGCTCAAATCCGCCTACTCTTATCATAAAAAGGTAAGTATCACTTCTTGTATTACGGCTGACCATCTATTGATACTTTAACTTGGATTTATTCAGTTGTAGTTCCTAATGTTTTAGGAGAACAACTTTGTTTCAGCGTGGTTGCTAGCTAGGCTAATGTTAGATAACTGCGCATGTAAACAAACCAGCAGAACATTGTACGTTAAAGGTATTCAGCAGTATGCTTGAGTATAGGAATCATGTCATCAGCTGGTTTATGTATTTTTGACTGAGTTAAAATTACATTCATGCATATTTATTTACAGTTTGTTTCATAATCCACTTGTGTAACGTTAACTTTAACTCCTACAAACTCATCGGTGATGTCTTTCGGTATCTTAACTGTGCCACAGGTTAATAAGCCTGTGTATTATTAGCTTTCTAAGTACACAAAATAATAACCAATAAATATCAATGATCTGTAATGTTGTGTTGTGAAGGTCACTGTCATTATCTGCCAAGGGGACTTTTTCATTTGGTGTAAATTGTCATTCTCACCGGTCCTCAGATGATTTGTCTTTGATTGTTAAATATGACCATGATGTGTTCATGTATTTTTCTGAAGGTGGTGGACCACTATGAAAACCCTAGAAATGTTGGTTCCCTGGACAAGAATGCCAAGAATGTGGGCACTGGTTTGGTAGGTGCTCCTGCATGTGGGGATGTAATGAAACTACAGGTAAGACCTTTTTTCTTTTAAATTTTTGTTATATTTAATCATTTTAAAATATTGAATTATATAAATATATAATTTACATCTTTGTTTTACAGGTTCAGGTGGATGAGAATGGAAAGATAACAGATGCCAGATTCAAAACGTTTGGCTGTGGCTCAGCCATTGCTTCCAGCTCACTGGCCACAGAGTGGATGAAGGGGAAATCGGTGAGTCATTGTGACTCAGACCATCACGCACATTCACAGTGTGATCAGATTATCTCATTGTGCTTCATATTTGTTTTTTCAAATGTTCCTACAATTGTAATGACCACTTTTCCTTGTACAGATTGATGAAGCCCTGAAAATCAAAAACACTGAGATTGCCAAAGAACTTTGTCTACCACCAGTCAAACTACATTGCTCCAGTAAGTGTATTTAAATGGTTGTTTCAGATTGCAAACACATTGATGTTATCAAAATAAAGACATGGACTCAAATGCTGTTTTTATAATTTCATTTTTTTTTTTCTGGCAGTGCTTGCAGAAGATGCTATTAAGGCTGCATTAGCAGACTACAGGCTCAAACAGAAGGACAACAAGGAGACGTTGGCAGAGGCTCGAAATTAACGAGTGAATCACCAATGAATCACTGTTACCTACTCTTGTCGTGACTCATAAAAATGGTGTAGTTTATTTCCTGACTGAGGTTGCAATGAACATAATAGCCAGTATAATCTATCATTACTACTATATGTGCTCTGCCTTAGCATTTCTGGTTTGAAGTGGTTTGCATTGACAGACTTTGGGGATCTTTGGATTAAAGTTTGTTTCTGTATCTCTCTGAATCACGCACATTCGGTATAAACTTTATTTCCAGAAGATCTCATACTCTGACATGAAATGCCCTTAATATTATATGTATACTACTAAAATGCTTGTAAATGTATTCTCATACACTTTATAAAAAGGAAAGTATGGGTTTTGAAAAAAATGTACATTTCTTAGAATTTGCAGGAGGGTCATTTATAGTTTTGGCAGTGATTTGTAAGCAAAGCAAAAAAAAAAGTGACACCAAAAACCAAAAGATACCTGGGCTTTGATGCTGTATTATTTCTAGTAAAAACTTAATAAAGCTCTAGATGTTAATGTTGCATAATCCATTGTTTTGTATTATTCTCTACATATTTTTCTGCACAAAAAAAGTTGTCTGTAATACGGGTTATGAATTTGTGCGAATGTCTTCTTGAACCTGTGGAAACGGAGCAACTCTCAAGTTTCGGACCAGGATGTTCTTCAGTACCAAAAGCACTGTGAGCATCAGCAGTCCTGTAAGCACACAAAGGACAGCCAGGACCGCAATAAGCGCTGGGTCACTGGACTGTAGTATTGTCCGAGGAGTGAATTCCATGTCTCTAGTTGTGGTCATTGAACCAGTAGTTGCTGATGCTCCTGATTGCTGAACTGTCGAATTCTCCACACAACCAGGTTCCTTTTCTGTGGCTGGACTGTTGGGTATTTGGGTGTGCTGAGGTATAAAAGATGTCACATTTAGCAAGAGGCAGTCTTCGTAGCTCAGTCTCTCTATAGTGGGCTGGTCTGACCCAAAGAAGGACCTTGATATCGTGCTCTCGGGTAGTTGTAAAGATTTTTGACATCTAAATGAACTTGTGTTACATGCAATATCAGATCTAACCAACATCAGTACACTTGAGGTCTGATCTATATGACTTTCAACCACTTTTCCAGATTCTGTGGTTGTATTCACAGATGACATTCTCTCAACTGGCTTAAAATGTTTTGGACAGATAGCCATGACCGACAAAGTTAATAGCAACTTGTGTGCAAGGTGTAAAGGAGCTGTACATACTAGATCTGATGCCATCCGTAACCTGTCCATCAGAAGCCACTTATAAAGATACATGATGTCACACTCACAAACCCACAGGTTGTTGGCTAGTTCCACTGACCGGAGACGGGACAATCCATCAAAAACCTGCTCGGGTATAGAGCGTAAACAGTTACTGTTAATCTTTAACACTTGCAAGTTCACCAATGCACCCAATGAGGACAGATCTAGGGCAGATATGCAGTTCGCCGACACGTCGAGGTGTGTCAGCGAAGAAGGTAAGTTAGGTGGCAGACGAGACAATCTGTTGCCCTTAAGAGTCAACGTCCTCAGTTTGGTCAGACCTAGCAGCGCCCCTGGCTGAATCGCTCGTATCCGGTTATCCTCTAGGTCCAGGCGTGTGAGGTTCCCAAGCTGCCTTAGAGATCCAGCAGTGATGTAGGTGATCTGATTCTCTTGAAGCTGAAGGGTCTCAAGACTTGACGGCAGCCCCCGAGGGAAACGGACCAGTTGGTTGTGGCTGAGGCTCAGTTCCTGTAGGCCCAAGTACGGCCGGAACACGTTATCCACATTGCAAAGCCGATTCCGGGCTACAGAGAGGACGGCGGTGCTTAGGGGGACGGAGCGAGGCAGAGTACGTAGACCAAGAGACTCACACAGAACCAGAGCACCAGAATGGGGACAGCAGCAGCCGTTGGGACAGGGTGACACAACCAGGCCGGCAAAGAGAGATGAACAGAGATACAACAAGAGACAGTAGAGACGACTAGGACGCATGGCTCACTTGAGGGAAGAAGATTAAGAGGGATGGATAAGGGAAAGAGAAAGGAGAAGTTAGTAACTGCTTTTCTTTTACCGCAAATTAATCTGTTGAACAAACTTAATTACCATGATGGACTCTGCGGCTCCTCCAGGTTGTATTTCCTTTCATGTGCGTCTTGAGCTTGATTCCAAACGCATTATCAAATGTGTTACTTAGGAATACATAGGGATGTGGTACTCACCATTATTGCCCATTTTCAGCTGACCTCTCGCTTTCACTTTATCTGCTGCACGTCCTTAACCTCTTTCCTCTTTCCTCTTGTCCCTTCCAGAGAACGGTCCGTGCTCACCCTGAAAATTCTGGGTAGCGGCCCATCAAACTTTAATGGCAGCCTTAAGGTTTTGAGTTACCGGTTTTGTATCTTCTTCTCAATGTAAATTAACTGGGCACTCCAGTTGCTTTTCCCATGACACAGCTGCACTGGGTTAGTAGAGTAGGTTTCTGTTAGGAAACACGTTTAATAACCATTCTGTGGATGTAATATGTTATTTTTTAGCATCTGCAGAGCAAAACTAGTTACAAGTAAACTGTACCGTTATGTTAACCATGGCTGGCCAAAATCATATTTAAGTCCAAATTGAATCATTCAGGAGTGATGAGAGCACATATCACTCTCTTCTAATAAAGTGAGAGAAGTGTGTATTTCCAGAATTA